TCCTTTAAAATGAAAATTTAAATGGCGTAATTCTTTTACATTACGAGAGTGAATGACTATAAACTTAAAAATACTTGAAACTTTTATTGTTTATAATTAATTTGAGGTTTACAAGTTCATAAGATAAGGAGCATTATAATAAAAAAAAACGTAAAAAATTGAATGGTTTGAAAATTAACTCAAAGTGTATCATGGGAGATTACAATATTTAAAACTGTATACAAAGGTAATTGAATATTTATGTATGTAATCTATGGCTGAATAATTTTCAATAACAAGATAGAGTATACATATAAAATATATTGATTATCATTTAATAAAAAGATTGAACTACTAAATACATTTAATATGTCACAAGATCATTTACCTTATAAAAAACGTTAATTATGAAAAAAATGTAAAAGGAATGATAAAATAGTTAAGTAGAAAAAATAAAAAAGGTAAGTTATTGAAAATTAAATGTATAGGGACGAGTTTTAATTGCATGAATTGTATAAATATTTCGTAAATCACAAGAGCCAATTTGGATCGACAAAAATTTTACGCAGTGGTAAATCATAAACCAGAGCTTTTGAGTACCAATATGAAATTTTAGGCAATGACTAATCGTTGGTAGTTCAAGCAATCAAAAGCTATACAAAATTTAAAAGAAGGTTGAGAAATCATTCTAGCAATATACATATACTTACGTATTTTCACATACAAGTAACGTAGGGATTTTATGTATGAGAACCATTACATATGATCATATCGATTCCGTATGATTTATGCTATTGAAGCCTTGTGAATATATTAAAATCAAAATTTATAAATATTCTAAAATGGTTTACATAAATAAACTGAGCTGTCAACATTAAAATTTTATGAATAAAATTAGAATAATAAGTCAAAATAAATAGAGTATAAGAAACAAGTTTTCGGGGTCATTCCCAAATTGGAGAACTTCGGAGCCATTCCCAAATAAATTTTGGAATTTATAGGTTCATTCTTTAATGCGTATACATGCAAAAATTACCAATAGTTATGAAAACTAATATAGCAAATAGTTTATGTAGAATTATAAGCGAAATAATTTTATTAACAAATTCTAAATATGCTTCTTTACAACTATATCAATTTTATTTCCATTATTTCATTAAATTTATTCCAACTAATTAATTATAAACGCACTTAAAATTAAAAAATATTCTTATTTTCCAATAATATAAACGTTATTAAAAAAAATTGCAAAATATTCATGCAAATAAAATGCCACAAATAATATTAAATTTTGTAATTACATGGCGTAAATAATTTAATAATTTATTAATTTTTAAAATTTCTTACATGAAAATTTCTATGTAGCTATAAGAAAAATATTTCTTAAGCATTTTAAAATAGAATAAATTTGAATACCCAAAAAAAGAAACGGAGAAAATTAAAATATAAATTTCGTTGAATTTATTTAAATTTGATATTTTTAAAATAGCATATACTCGTATCATCTATTATATATGAGTGCAATGAATAAGAATTTTATTTATTAAAATATAATTTATACGGGATTATATACGATATTAGAAATATTATAAATTAGATTTTTGATTCATATTTTTATGAAAAAAAAAATTTGGCGATAAACTGATCAATTCAAAATAAAAGTTGCATGAAAAGATCACAAGCGAAAATAATTAACGAAAACTCAAAATCGTTGCCTATTTACAATGGTTTCTTATACAATGTTTGAATAGTCGTAAAGATGCAATCACGTACGATACACAAGTAATATATGTATATTTATGTATATGGATGCATACATAGTTGTCTAAGCGACTAGCACATTTAATTAATATGAAATTATGATACTTAAATGAATTTCAAAAATCTGCAGTATATACTAAATTATAATTATTTTTTCTCAAATTTTTATAAAATTCACATTAATTATCTTCACTTTTAAAATTAATTGAGAATGATGAATTTATAAATTATTAATTTATTAATAATTGTCTATTTTTATATAGATTTCATTAAAAAAATATATATATAAAATTATTGAGGCTACTATAAACAGCTGTTTTTGAAAATTATTATTTAATAAAAGTTAGAAAGTTCTATTTCATTTGATTCAGATATGAAGTCTAAATTTTAGTTTTGAACCTCAATGAACCCTACCCGTCTTTTAAATTGATTTATGTTTATTAAACTTAATTAAACTTATTAAATAGGATGGAATATTTTGTGATATAAGCATTATATATTTTAAAAATTTGAAAAGATGCTCTTCCATAAGACATATTTAAATAAAATATTCTATTATAAAAAATTTAATAATTTTGTAATTAAACAGTAAATTAAAAAATTTAAATATAAAAGCAAATTCTAATTTTTAATATATAGCATTAACTTTATTATTACATATTTTGTTTTTTAAAATGAAGTCACTACAGATGCGACAGAAAAGTTCTAAAGTTATTTTTATATATAAGCACTAATGGAAGGATAAGAGAATTGTATATACCAAAAACACTTATGAAAAAATATTAAAAAAGTTAAAAGAAACAAACAATTTTCCTCTTTTCCATAATAATAAACTCTATTCATATCTTATGTGGCAAAAATACATACATGTATGTATCAAACATGTACCATACTTACATATAAACATTAAAAAGTTTTAACATTCTTTAAAAAATTACCTTGAAGTTTTTTTAAGTTTTATATATTTTTTACCAATACTAATTAGGAAAGCAATTTAAGTAATATTTAACAAGCATACATGTATGTATACATTATTGTGCATGTTATTATATGTATACGTAGATATATGTACATATATACGTTTAAAGATCATCTCATTATCAAATATGCACTCATAATATAAATTGCATATACAATACATACATTTTTCTAAAGCATATCAGGATTTCAACTCTTTTAGTCTATTATACTTTATTCTTTAGAGTTTTAGAGTTAATAAGTAACACCTTATACCTACAAGCTTTTAATTTACATAAATATGCAAACAAGAACTTTTGTAACAGTGCAAAACTTAAAGGACAGACAAATAAACTTGGATTCAACCAATGTTTTGTAAAGAAGTACATTTCTCTTAGATAACTTAAGATAACTAACAACTCATTTAAAAAAGAAACGATGTTTTAAATCATTCTCTATCAATAAAATAAAATTTACTCGTTAGAAGAATTGGCCTGTAACAGAACTGTATATCCAGTTTACATTTTATTATTGCTTTTGGTATTCATTTTATTTTTGTTTTATAATAAGCTGTCGCAAAATGTCACTTTTTACTTATGACTTTTGGAAAATGGAATTTAAATTTTAAATAAAAACTAATATGAATAAATATTAGCAAAAATTTCGTTTTGTTGTTTTTGTTTTATATATAGGTGCTTGCAATTTTGCTATACATATAACGTTTTATTGGTTCTAATATTTTATTACATCTTAAATTTTTTTTTATTTTCATTTCTTTAAAGTAGAACCCTCAATTTTACTCATAATATAAAAAAAAAATTTTAATATATATATATATATATATATATACACTATGCAGAAAGTATAACACAAAGAGTACCATCTTCAAGATCTTTTGAAATTAAATAAATTTTCTTCACTAAATTTATGAATTTTAAAATACTTTTAATGTTATGCATAAAATGGTGTGAATAAAACCCTTCCCTGGATTCAGTAAGACAAGGAAGAACTGGAGAATATAAACAGATGCATCAACAAATTACATAGAAACATTGAATTTACATTCGAAATTGAGGAAAATGGAGTGTTACCTTTTTTGGACATACTGGTGAAAAGAAAATCTGAAAAAATTGGATTCAAGATATATAGGAAGAAAACAACAACACAAAGATGCATTCCAAAGGATTCGTACCATTCAACGAAACATAAAATGGCAGCGTTCAACTCTATGATCCATAGAATGCTAACAACACCGACGGACAAACACGACTATAGATCAGAAGTAAACTTCATTTTGGACACGGCTGTCAAGAACGGTTATTCTACTGAACGTATTAACAAACTTATTAGAAAGAAAAAACGAAATATTGAGCAGGAGAATATATATGAGCACATTGTTTAAACAGAACAGGATATTGGAAGAACAAAGAACAACATGGGCATCTTTAAGTTATGATCATCACTGTACAAACTTGATAAATAAACAACTAAGGAAACACAATATACGGACATTGGAAACCAATAGTAAATATCAACTTAGGAGCTTGCTAAATTCGGCTAAGGATAAATTGAAGATACATGAAATATGCGGTGTGTACAAAATCAATTGTAATAATTGCGATAAATTTTACATAGGACAAACGAAGAGACCCGTTACAACAAGACTTAAGGAACATTTAAGTGAAATAAAACGTGCAAGGAGAGTAGGATTTAACAGGATTTTCGATTCTATGGTTGCAAAACACATTTATGAAACGGATCACACAATCACGGAAGATAACTTAAAGGTATTAAAAGAGGTAAAAGGAAAACACAGGAGAGAAGTTCATGAAAGCATGCAGATACACAAATCAAACAAGGACTGCCTACTGAACACGGACGAAAGTAACGCGACTACTTGGCTCTTTAAATTAATTATTTGACCAGTTTTAAGGTTTGAAACAGGTATAGATTTAGTTTGTAACTAATAACAAAAAAAAACAAAAAAAATAATCAAATTCTAGGTTAAGCCAGGTAGATAATTATATTAAGTCAGGTATAATATTCCTAATTTTAATAGATTTCAATTTTTATTGTTTGTTGTCTTAATTAGAAGAAAATCAGCTTGGATAAAGTGCGTATGTAGCGCACGAAATATCTTCTTCTTCTTCTTCTTTATTTAGAGCCTTGCTCTGTTAATTTACAAAAGCGTTGGACATAATATATAACATTAGTACAGAATATAAATACATGTATATTGCATACATTATATATATACATAAATTTATTTGATACAATATACTATATTTGTTTCTTTTTTTTTGTTAATGATGATCTGACATTGAGCCGAAAGTCCAGCATTCCTGCCATCTCTTCGGTGGTCTTCCTGGAAGTCTACACGAACTGGGTTTCCCCATGAATGCTCTTTTAACCACCCTGTCTGGCGACATCCTTTGTACATGCTGATTCCATTCTTTTCTTCTTCTTCTACTCCATTTGACAATATCCTGAATTTCGCAAATTTCTCTTACTTCATCGTTGCGTTTATGATCGTATCTGGTGTAACCTGTTATGGATCTTAATGTAGCCATTTCCGCTGCGCTCATAATATTTTCGGTCTTTTTTGTGTCTGCCCTGCTTTCTATTGCATAAGTGATTATAGGTCTTATGCATGTCTTATATATGCGGGTTTTGCTTCTAATATTCATGTGCTTATTTTTCCAGATAACATCTTTTAAATAACCTGAAATCGATGATGCTTTAGTTGCTTGTGTTTTAACTTCTTTGGTTAGATCACGTGATGATGTTATAAGTGCTCCTAAGTATTTAAATTCCATCACTTGTTCGATGCTTTTTTCGTATACTGCAAGCTTACATCGCAGAGGGTTTTTGGATATTACCATGTTTTTAGTTTTTTCTACTGATACCTCCATATTAAATTCCTCCGCGGCTTTCTCAAATGCATAAACCAATCTTTGCAGGTTATCCTCGCTATCTGATATCAGAACGGCATCGTCAGCAAAGCATACACATTTTATTTCATTGTCCCCTATTTTGTATCCGCGGCCAGCACATTTCACCTTTTTTATTATTTCGTCCATTATAACATTAAACAAAATAGGACTAAGGCTGTCTCCTTGTCGAATATCCGTATTTATTGGAACCTCAGCGGAAGTGCCGTTGTTCGTTTTTATGAACGTGCTGTTATTAGTATTAAGATCTTTTATTAGTGCTATGATGTTTTTATTGACGTTTCTTTTATTAAGCAGTACCAGTACATCCTTAAGGCAGACTCTATCAAATGCTTTTTTAAGATCTACAAAACAAAAAAAGGCTGGGGAGTTGTATTCTATAGCTTTTTCTGTTATTTGTCTTAAAATAAATATCGCGTCTGTTGTAGATCTGTTGGTTCTAAAGCCTTGCTGTTCTTCACTTATACCTGTATTTGCTATTTCAACTGCAACAATTTTTGTAAGAAGTTTCGACATGGCACTTAGCAACGAAGTTCCTCTATAGTTTTCTGGTACTTTCTTACTGCCTTTTTTGAATATAGGAATGGTAATACTTTTTTTCCACTCGACTGGTACCTTTATGTCTGAAACAATTTTTGCAAATAGATGGGTTATTTCATCCCAGAGTTTTTGACCACCATACTTCAGCATTTCGTTGGTTATCTCACCAATACCTGCTGCCTTCCGATTTTTCAATTTTTTTATATTCGCTTCAACCGTAGCAGACGATATAGAATAAACTGATTCGTTTTGATTGGATTCATAATCATTTCTATCACTGCTTATATTGTTTCGTGTAGGTTGACTGCCAAGCAAGTCTCGAAAGTATTTTTCCCACTCTAATGCTGAGATTTTTTCCATCGTCAAATATTCGTTAATTGGCTTCTTCCTATTCCTCAACATATTCCACACTTTTTTCTGTGCACCATATAAATCATGTTCCATATCTGTTGAGAACCTTTGCCAATAATCCTTTTTGATGTTTGATATTGCCATGTTCACCCTGTTGCGAACTAACTTATACTCATTATATGTAGATTGATTACATTTATACTTTAAATATGATTTCCGTTTCTCCATTGCTAAGTTTTTCACGTCTCCACAGAACCATGGCTTCACGTTCCCTTTTTTGTGTGGCAAATTTATGTTGCGCTTGCCAATTGACTCTAAGGCTGCTTCAGTGATATTAGTTCTAATTTTCTGCCAAGCAATGTCAACGCTATCATCTTGGTTTATCATGTTTTCTTCGATTTTCGCATTCAATCTGCTTTCATACAAATATTGAGTTGAGGAGTTAGTGAAAGATTCGATGTTGTACTTGGTTATTGTTTGTGAAGTTGTATTTATTGCTGTTTTGAGTTTGTCACGAAATTTCAACAGGAGAAGGTTGTGATCAGTTCCTACATTTGCTGAAGATAAGACCCTCACATCTACTATTTTGGTTGGGTGTATATTTTTATTTGTGACAATGAAGTCTATTGTAGATTTATGGCCCCTGGAGTTCATGAACGTGTATTTATGCTGTGGCTTGTGGTCAAAGAACGTATTATTAATTCGAAGCTCATTTTGAGCGCAAAAGTGGGTTAACTGTTCTCCACTATCATTGATCACATGCTCATTAAATTTATTTTTGACTCTATTGACCACTACGTTTCCAATGCGTGCATTGAAATCACCAGCTATGAATATTTCGTTGTTTTGTGGAATGCTCAATGGCTTTTTGCAATTCGTGATAAAATTCGTCTTTTTCGGTTTGTGGTCTTGTAATATCGGGCGCATAAACGCTTATTATGTGGGTTGCTGTATTGGGTTTAAATTTCATTACAACTTGTAGTAACCTATCATTTATATATTTTATTTCCTCGATGTTTTGTTCGAATTTTTCGTGGATCAAGAAACCGACACCGGATGCCGCATGTTTATCTTTGTCTTTACCACTGTATATGAAGATGTAATTGTTATATTTCATGTTTCCTTTACCCTTCTTCTTGGTTTCAGATAACGCGCAGATGTCTATTTTGTGCTTTTCCATTTCAATAAAAATTTCCTGATCTCTTTTCGAAAAAGATGAAATATTCCAACATCCGATCCTCATAATTTTATTTTTCTCTTTATTTAATCGTTTGTGTTTTCTCTTTGTCCTTTGTCGTGCTGTTTCATTACCATTGGGTTCATCACTTGTTCTATCCGAGGCTTTTGTTTTTCTTTGAGCAATTCGTTTTACTCCCAAGTAGGTTGCTAATCTTGCTTGGCAGGATTATTTATCGACCTTTTCTGGTCTAGCCCTTGCTATTTTTGCTTAAACCAATAAACGGATGTTTATTATTTAATTTCCAGGAGCCACCGCGAGGAGGTATAGCAAGCACTTGGCCAGGAATTAAACAGTTGCAACACTGGATCAGCGATCGGTCAGTGCCTACCCTGTTTATCCTTGCCCAGACTCCCCGCACGAAATATATTAGCGAAAAATAAAAAAAAGGATTTTATTCCGAATAAAAGGAAGTTTTCTTTTCATACCAATAATAAAAAAAAAAAAAGAATTATATTTCGGAAAAATTATCAGCCATTGAAAAAAATTTTTTAACTACTGAATTATACTCTGCACCTTAGTAGCATACAATTTAAGTATAAAAATTTGTTTTTGAAATGTTTAGAATTATATTTCATTGTTGTATGGCAATTACACGAATCTGTAAAACCATTCCGTAGAAACTTCAGGGATATACCTGACCTATAATTCAACACGCGACTGCCAAGTTTCATGAATCTAAATTTATTTTTTTTTTTTCAAATATTTGAAATTTACTTTTGGAGTTGTATGGCAGTTCACGATCGGGCGAAGGACGGACGGAAATGTCTAAATCAACGCAGAATTTTACGCTGAGCAAGAATATATATTTACATGTGTATACCGCAGATGACTCTTTCAAGTGGTTACAAACTCCGAACTAAAGTCAATATACCCTTCACGAAGGTCCTGCACCTTTTAAAAATATTTAATCATTTAAAATAAAACTTAACTTATTCTTCTAATGTTATTCTATAAATTTTTTACATGATGTTAATCAAGGTAGAGAAAACCATTTTTTTTCCTCATTTTATTGCACCTAAACGAAAACCATAACTATGTACATAACATTGCTAATGATAATGCAATTTTATAGTTATCTAACATAATATAAACAAGTGCAAACATGCATTTTATAACTCTTTCAAGTAAATTTGTAACAATTTGTAATCATACACATATGTTTACATACAAATCTAAAAATTTCAGGTTTATGTGTCTACATTTCTCTTATATTTTGTTCCGTTTTGTTCCTTATGTTAAAACCACTTAACTAAATAGCACAGTATATAACATTACGGACTAAAAACTAAAAACAATGTAGTGTTTTCCGGAATTTTTGTTTTTTCGGTTTTACTTCATTTAAACTTTTAATTCCGTTTTTCTTTTTCTTTTAAAGAATTTAAAAATCAGCAACCCTTTTTCTATTACATACATTAATGTTCTATACAAAAACTACATTACCTAGATAAGAATACATTCTTTTAAACGTTTGTTTATATGTATGTATAAGATTATCTAAAAAGATTAAATTTTTTTTATTACCAAGTCTACTGTTTTGCGGTCGTAATATTTACAGCTTCATCAAATGAATCTTAATAATATTTTTGGTTTTTAGTATATATGTAGCTGTAGCAAAGATCTTAATAAGGATAATAAAAATTATATTGTACGATTATATATATAACTAAGTATTTTTACAGTACATTTTCCTAATATCTTGAGAAAGGTAAGGAATTCCTGTTGTGTACAAAAATATGTGGATAAATAAAATTTATTTAATTTTATTTATTTTAAAATTAACAAACATTTATATAATTCTGACATTTTCTTTTGCGTTTTTTTTACTTTTACAAAACAATCAAACAGAAATTTATAATATTTTCATCAAAAGATCATAATAACTGAAAGAATATTTTTATAAAGTAATTGTATTTATAATAAATTTTAAAATTTTAATGAACTTAGGAGTGTAAATATAAATAACTACAACAATTCACAACAAACCTATATAAACTACCCATGTGTGTGTAGTATGTGAGTCATTCTTAACATTAAATTGGGTTATTGCCAAGTTGTAAATAAAATTCTGTAAATTAAACCAAGTTGTAAATAAAATTCTGTGATAAAATTAAAATAACATATTAAAATATTCAAAAATATTTCTTAAATTTCAAAAGAAATTTTGAAAAGTCAAAATTGTATAAAGGAAAGTTTCAAAAAAATCAAACAAAAGTTTTGCTTTTAATATGAAAGTTGTATATGTTATTAATTTTGAATCTACTATAATTATAAAAATTCAATGTAATTTTAAATTGCACACCTATAAATATGCAATACTTAACCTTTTTTCAGTAATGAAATTTGAAATACTTAAAAAATTTAATTTATCAAATTTTCCCGAAAATAATTTTATTACGACCGCAAAATGAACCCACAGCCGTGAAAACAATTAAAGTTCGTTTTGTCTTTAGAATAATGCAACAAATAAAATAAAATCAGATAATGGGAGTATTTATTCATTACATAGAGAAATATAACCATTTTTACCGACCGTATTGTGTAAACAATATTTAGGTTATGTGATGGCAACAAATTTTGCATATCGAGTTTTCGGTGGGAATGCACTTCTCCATAGTAGGGAAGTGTAAGTAAACTATTTTTAGCAACCTGTCGGTCCGTCGGTCTGTCGGTCTGTCGGTCTGTGTGTACGCGTGTATCTCAAGTTCTGCTGAACCGATTTTGATGAAATTTTATATGTAAGTTTATTTCCACCATGGCACGGATTGATCAACTTTTGGGATATATCAGGCCTCGGGAACTGCACTTTTTAGCGGGCCTGTTTTACATTTTTGAACATTTTGAAGAAAGTATTCAACCGATTTACTTGAAATTTCATATATGAGCTTTGCTCGACCGTCCGCGAATATTCCTAACTTTTGGAAGAAATCAGGCATCAGCAACTGGACGTTTACTACGGGCCAAACATACATTTTTGTGTATATAAAGAGAAATAATCAACCGATTTCATTGAAATTTAATATTTGAATTGCTCGTATTAAAGCAATGAACATGTAAATTTTTTGGAAAGATCAGGCATCGGCAACTAGACGTTTACTACGGGCCAAATATACATTTTTGTGAATATAAAGAGAAATAATTAACCGATTTCATTCAAATTTAATATATGAATTCCTCCTATTAAAACAATGAACATATAAATTTTTTGGAAACATCAGGGCTCGAAAACTGACTTGCGGGCCGATTTTACATTTTTCACCATATCTACTGAACGAATTGATGGGATTTCATGAAATTTGATATTTGAGTTCTGGGCATTACCAAAACTAACTGGTGGGCATTTCAGGGAAATCGGATAGCACAAAACGAAACTGTACTAAGAGCCAAATTTACATTTTTCTAGATATGTTAACTATAAGCTTACAAATGTCTTTAAAATTGGAAAGAAGTACTTAACAGACATTTCTTTAATATTCTGTAACACTTTCACTCAACTAGACAATACACAATGCGGTCGGTTATGTGCTGACCACATCAGATTTTTTACAATGTTATTGCTTCCCTACGGAGGAAATAATTGTCGTGTTCGAAATATACAATTTTTTCCCTATATATTTTGAAAGACACTAAGCCACTTTGTTGTTTAGGCATATAAATATACAATATATGTATGTATATATATGTAAGAATTTATTAAAAAAGGAAGAGAGAACTTTTTTACCAAGGTGTGTCGACATAATTTATTTTACTAATTCGTACACATTAATCCACTTACCTATATATGAACTTTATCATAGAAAAAACAACAAAAAAATATCACAGTTACATTGTTTTTCCGAGTTTTAATAGCGTATGTATATACACTGTTTTTATATTTGAAACAAAAAAAAAGTTATTATGGCAATGCATGTAGTATGTTATATTTTCAATTTTACTTGTACATTTTAAAAGAAACTTTCTTAAGTTATATAAGCACCTCACAGCCATACCAACTTGTTATGGTTTTTGTCTATGGAACAGAATTCTTTAGCAATCCCAAAAGATTGCAGAGATCATGGTTTTACTTAATTTAACATATGTATTTACATTAAAGCGACAAATCAATCATCACAAAAAAATCTTCTTATTATAATAATTATTGGCAATAATTAGAGCAAGAGTATTTCGAACTTTATTCAACGGTCGCAGTGTATTGTTACTTTTAATATAAGAACATTGTTACAAAATGGCAGTCAAAAGTTATTATTTATATGGAACAAATAGCTCGACTGTTTACAAAGTAATATATATTAATTTTAATTTTTCTTTAATTATTTAGGAAAGATATGGCCAAAGAGCTCCGCAACCACTTATGGTTTACCATAACCCTTCCATATCCCACTTACACTACCCCGGTTCCAAGCAAGTGCTCGCAAACCATCTGCGCCTTCTGGCGGCCACAGCAAGACAGTCACAAAGAATGTGTATGGCCGTTTCCTCATCTTTCCGGCAGAATTTACACAAAAAGGAATCCGGTTTGTCCAGTTTGGGCAAGTGATATTTCACTGGTCAATGTCTAGTGAAGAAGCCAGTAATAGCACGAACCCGATTTCGATCGATCCACAGCAGCTCTGAAGAGAACTTGAAAACGTCCCTCAGTAGCCTTCCAGCGAAGATTCGATTTTTCCTCAAATAGAAAGGCAAGTCTGCCCAAGTAAGCCAAACATTGACAGTCCACAGAAGGGGAAAGGCCAAACGAAAAGGATCCCAAATTTACTGGTGATGAAACTCTTATGTCTTAAATTCGTCCAAAAACAAGCTCGTACTTTCGATCTAGAATTCTCATAGCTTTGCTAATCCTTGTGAGATTAACGCAAAAAGCGGATGAGGAGTATGATGGCAAGAATGTGTTGTCTCGTTGTAGAGATCATAGGATTTATAAGAACGTTGATGGGAAAACGATGAGAAATGGTAACATAAATCTTCTATCCATTGCTGTTTCTATTTACTATCAAAATGTTAGAGACATACGTACTAAAAAATCTAAAGTTTTTGTAAATTCAGCTGTCCTAGATTGTGATACTTTTATCTTAACTGAAACTTGGCTTTGTCACACGATTAATTCTCTTGAACTATTTGGAAACGATTATTCTGTTTATAGATAAGATAGATATAATGCCGTTTCGAGTGATTCTGTTGATAGAGCTTTAGTTGCAAAAGGCGGGGGAATCCTAATTTCGAGTAAAAATAATTTTAATACAAATCAAGTAGATCTGCAGAAATTTTTGTTTTTAGAAATTGTTGCCATAAAAGTTGACCTGATTTACAAGAATGTTTTTGTGGTAATTTTCTACATTTTTCAATCTCTGAAGCTTATGAAAATTTGTAATTGTTGATTATGTTAATTTTGTTATGAATTCAGATGATGAATTACTTTTATTCATAAATTTTTATCTTTCAAATTTTTCTGGATGCCTCATGATGAGCAATGCTTTTTAATACCTGCTCATATTGCAAATGATTCCGAAAATATTTGCTCCAATAAATTTGCAACAAAGTTCATTTTCAAAACAAACAGCTGGACATGATTTTTATTACTAATTTAATAATATGTAATTTAATAATTAATGTTTGTAGTATATCTTTAATTAGTGTAGATAATTGTTATCTTGTCTTTTTTCTAAGTTATAGCTCGATGAAATGGTGAGAAGTTTTTGCGACGTTCTTTATCTTGCCTTTACCTTTCTTACTCTTATTAGGCGTGATGAACTTGTTAATTTTCCCCGCCGTGGTTTGATAAAGAGTTAAAAAAATTTAAAAATAAAAAAACAGGGCTTAGAATTTATATTTAATGTTTATAAGGTTAATTTTCAATTCAAATATGATGATTACCTTATTATTACGGGATATGAAATTAAATCTAATCCGATTTTTTTTTTTGAATTTTGTTAATTCCATAAGGAAGTCTAGTCAATATTCATTTTTATGAATTATAAGGGTTTATCTTCTAATACTTCAATACATATTACAAATTTTTTTCGGGAATTTTTTTCCAGCTTGTATTTAGTAATACCTTCAATGGATTTTTCCATTACTCGAGCAAAAAATATTCGATATTTACGGTCGATAGTAAAGTAATTTTCTGTTGGCCAGGATTGCTATAGGCCAGGATATTGATCTCTTCCGCAGAACTTTCTTCCGAGATCAGAATGTTGAATCTAATCTACCTGTGGTCGGACATAGATGTCTCATTTGAGACATCATCCGTAAACCCTATTATTAATACATTCAGTTATACATAGAGTGATATCAAGAACCTTTCCTGATCTCGTTTATAAATATTGACGTGTTCCCTTCTTTCATAATTGCTAGTTTACTACTGTATATAAATTCAAGTAAGCACTCACCTTTTTCATTTATGTCGGTGTTCTTTTCATTATTTTCTATTATTAATTGGATGTTCCTCTTCCCGCAAAAGTCCACAACTTCCTTTAATTGCTCGTCTGGACGGGTGCTCTCTCCCAAGAGATAGGATGGGCATCAACAAACTCTGTCCAGTCTTTAGGAGACTTCGTCTTAATCAGCGCAGCTACCTCATGCTTGGAGCAGAAGACTGGAATAAGAGGATACTTTAGAATTTTACTAAACAACATGTAGCCCTAGGGCTGCGCCCAACTGTATTATATAATAAGCGTGTAAATAATAACCGTAGATGTCCTTACATGATGTAGATTTACTTGAATGCACCTCACAGCCATACCAACTTGTTATGGTTTTTGTCTATGGAACAGAATTCTTTAGAAAAAAACTTATCGTGCTTATCTCTAGCTTCACCGTTATTTGCAAATAAGTGTATAATAATTCTTTTTCTCAGTAGAACGTTAAATATATCAATCAAAAAATAATCTTACTGTAAGTAACCTATGGTCGCCATTATTCGATTCGGAACAGAAAACATTTTTATGTTGTGTTAAGAGATTTTATGCTTTGAAGCATAATCACGGCTGAACCCGAAGAGGGAAGCAAACACTTTATTAGTAATGATGAATTTCAAAACAGTATATTAACAGTATGAATTATTATACTTTCATAATTATATAAACATAATAATTATACATTCGTTTGCACTTGCGTACATGCAAAATTCAAAAATCTAGAAAACCTTTAATAAAATTATGGACTTCAAAATATTTACAAAAATAAAAAAAATTAATTTCGCGATAATTATAATAATTAACCAAATACAAATTATTTCAATTTTAATTAAACATACTTTATGTGCACACCGCCGCGCAAATTCTTCATCGGTAAAATTAAATGATAAATTATTAGATTTTTCTTGTTTAATTTTAAAGAGTGTATCTATATACATAGATATGTTAAATTCCATTAACTGTAAATAACGCATACATAAGAAACCAATTTGAATAATATGTATAAAAAAATTTCACATTTGAAAAAAAGACTAAAGTACATTTTTCTTCTGCATACTTCCCTCTAAATATGTGTATAAAATTAATTACTTGTTTAATTTATCACCACATTTGTACCCGATTTTATATTACACTTTCATACATTCACGCATGTATAAATTTTACTGCGAAAAGTTATTTTGCAATCTTTCATTTGCTTAATTCTTCATTAAGAAAATTACATCGTCGCACCCATCAAACGAAATAAAAATTGGTAAAAAAACTTCTTTCTAATTTCTTTTACCTTCAATTAGGAAAAAATAAATGGTGACAATGATATTACAACCACGTTACGTAGCATGCATATACAAGGTACATACATATTCATCTTATGCAAAAACAATTAATACTTATAATACATGTACATATGTATGCAAAAAAATCTGTGCTTGTTTTTTATCTCTCTTGTATGAACAGTAAGTTGTATGATTCGAACTGTTTTTCATAAGAGCAATTGTTAATGCTGGTACATCATCAACAGATCGCATATAGAATAAATAGAAATATAACGTTACATTATATATATTAATCAGAGAATTATCATGCTTGTAATTTCTTTCACCATTATCACTCTGATAATTGCTTTCATACTTAATACTTCTGTCAATAATATTAACATTTTCATTTATGTGTATAGTTATAATTTTCATTTTGCAATTTGCACTTTTCACTGGCACGTTTCCAAGAAAATTTGAAAAAAATATACTTGTTTTGTTTAAATTGCCTGCACACGTATCTACGTATTTGAATGCGTTTATACTCATTAACAAGGAAAACGCTCAAATTATGTACGATTTTAAGAACGAGATCAAATTGATCCTGTTATCGAACTTTGTTCCTCCAGAACAAAATCTTTCCATATCATCGGCTGGACACGCGCATAAGCGCGAGCCTAAACCCGTAACGTTCTGTGTTTTAAGCTTAAATACATGCAATAGAGATCTGCATAAGAGTAAACTTAAAAAGGGGATATAATCGCACAATCAATGTTCTCTCAAACAGTAAGACGGCGTTGTCAGGTCGTTGAGCTGATATCAACATATTTCTATTACTGGCTTCTCCACTGTCTGGCTTCACACTTACTGGCCATTGTCCGGCGAAATATCACTAGCACAACCCGGACAAATCGGACTCTCTTTTGTGTAAATTCTACCGGTACGATGAGGCGACAGCCAAATACATTTTGCGTGACTGTCCCGCTCTGGCATTGTTGCCGTTCTCACATTTAGCTCCCTGTGGAATATCTTCGAATATTTACTTTGAGCCGAGGTAGGCTATAATAAGCCTACCTATAATATAATTTCGAAGGCTATAATAAGCCATGGCTGGCTGCAATTGTCGAAGGGAAGGATTTGCCTTGGCCAGATCTCTCTTCAGTAATCTAAAATACACAATCTACCTCCTTTATTTGGAAAAACTATAAAAATAATTTTTTAAATTTTGACTTACATCGTGTTAGGTAAACCTTCAACGACATTCTTAACGTAACTCCGTTTCTTATACCATTGTCCATTAATATTAGTAAAGATATTACTCTTAAATTATTAGTAAAGATATTAAATGCTTACTTACTTACTAATAACTTAAAATTAAATGTAAATTTGGCTCTTAGTAGAATTTCGCTTTGTGCTACTCGAATTCCCTGAAAACTTTACCAGGTAGTTTCGGCAAAAACTAGAACTCAAATATCAAACTTCAAGAAAATCCGTTCTGTAGATATGGTAAATAATGTAATATGGTAACAATGTAAAAAATGGACCTTTGATCTTGTAAAAATGTAAAAAATGGTTTCCGAGCTATGATATTTCAAAAAAATTTATAGGTTCATCGTTTTGGCATCCCGAATTTAAATATTACATATCATAAAATTGGATGATAATCTTTCCTTACATATGCGAAAATGTAAAATCGACCCGCAAAAAAGTTCAGGTCCCGTGGTCTGATATTGATCAATACGTGTCATAGCCAAAATAAACTCACGTATAAAATTTCATCAAAATCGGTTCTGCCGAGAACAGTAATGTTTAGTAACAGAAACTAACTGTGCGTATCATTCGTTTAAATGAACTTAAATGAAAATTTAAAAATGTTACCTATAAATAAAAGAAAGCAACATCCCTGGCAATAATGCTATCTATGTAGATCCCTTCTAAAAACAAAAAAATAAGAATTCATGCAAAAACCAACATAAATTTTTGTATCCTTAAAATCAGTGGTTCCACTTACTACATTTTCTGTCCGCTTGCTAATCACTTCCTCAGAAAAATGTAATTTTAACTGAATAAAATTTCAATAGGTGTTTGTATAGGTATGCAATTAGTCGCTCCTATCTCTTTATGAGAAAATAATAATTTAAGAAATAAAAATGTATTTATTTTGGCATAACTTTTACCTATTTATATAGCAATTAATGTGAAATGTTTCATATGCGTCATGCGCAATACATTTATAAACTTGTAGACAACATGTACATGTATTTACAAGAAACGTAAAAGTACATACGCTCACAACATTTACAAAAAACATCATTGAAAAATTTATGTCATGAGGTAAAAAACAGTTTGTTCATTAAGGAATGATTTTAAAAATAAATATTACATCAATTATTCACTGTTATTGAACCAATTGAACAAAACAAAAAATTTATTTGTACAATCGTATAAGAATGTGTTCTACATTCACGTACAAATATTTTACGTGCATATTGCGTATATGTAGGTATATTAAAAAATGAAAACATAACAAAAAAATAAATATGATAAATTAAAATGTCATCTGCAATCCTTTAGAACACCTTTTTGGCTCTAACAAAATTTTTTAATTTTCTTTCTTTCTATTATTTGAATAATAAATGGAAAATAACTATTAATATTTCATTTTCAACTACAACATTTAATTTAAATCTAAAACAAAAATGAATTAATTTACATTAAAATATAAAGAAATTGTTGTTTTCTTTTAAAGAATGTTTAATTATTTTTTTCATTTATATTTTTTTTTTTTTAAATATTTGTACGAAAATTTGAACAACAATTAAGTGCAATAAATGCAACATTTCAGCATTTGTTATATAAAACAAGAATAATAAATAATATTTCATTTTGTTTTTGTTTTTCTTTTGAATTGTTGTAAATTTATTAATCAAATTGGATTTAAATTTGCGCGTGACCTGATTATTTAATTAGACAAGACTATAATATATGTATATAAGTACTCACACCATATAGATTTTATTTTCCTTTGAAGAAAATCAAAAATATTTTTGCATTTTTATTAGAATTGATTTATCTTTAAAGGAAATGAAAATATTTGGCAGTTATTTTAAAAGGATTCTTTATGAGAATGGGGTGGTTATAAGTGCAATGTATAAAAAATAAAGTCAGCGTTACATAATAATATATTATGTTCTTATATAACAGTTGCATATTATGTGCGAAATAATAACAATTGTATATAGGAGACAATAATGGCATTCAATGATCATTAACTTTTCTAGCGAATAATTTTTAATTCAGCAAAACAAATTCCTCATACTGTTGAGAATCAGCCGGAAGCTCAAGACAATGTAATAATTAAAATAAGTCTCAGATTTTAAATGTTAATTAAATAAAAAGCCAAAAATTGCGGAATCATTTTACGTATATTTTTATTTTCAAAGCAATCATAATATATGTATGTATAAGTAGAATGTAAATAATATGCATATAGGGCAATTTAAAATCTTCATATATGATGATTTAAATCTTCATATAATTTAACATTTATTTAAAAAGTGTAAGATGACATTTAATTTTTACGATTAAATAAGTTGAAGTAACCCAAAAAAAAAATTATACCAATTTTAATATTATTTCAAACTTTATTTAACAAACATTAATTTTGAAATAAATTTAAACTATTAATATTAAATATTTTACCGATATTCTGTTAGTCACATCACTTGACGTGATGGGTTCTATAATATCTCATCACCTTACGTGTTACGACTAGTTGCGATATTAAATATTTCAAAATTCGAAATATTTCCTTATAATTTTTATATTGCAAAAGTTAATATTTTGACCTATAATACCATGCCCTCAAGCAATAGGATCAGTATAATAAAACTATATTGCAATAAGTCATTTTTATCTAGATTAAACTAAAATTTGAATTTTCTAAATGATCATGTGGAACTCATAAAAACAAAAGAAAAAACCGATATAGAAGTTTTCGAAAATATTTATAAATTAAAGTTTAAAGTATTAAAAAAAGCAAATTGGAAACCCTTGTTGAATTTATAGAAATACATTTGAGTACATTTTTAAAATACGTGTACAAAATAGTCATGTACCGACTGACATTTTTTACTTCAAATTTATTCATCCCATCAGTTTTTTATTTTTATTGCAATAAAATTTGCAATAAAAAGGATTTTTTTACCCTATATTTGCACAAAATAAAAATTGAAAATTTACAATAATTTTAATATTTAAGTTTGGCGCATTTCCTATACATAAAACCTAACCTGAATATGTATATATATATACGAGTATATATATATAGTACATACAAAGCTACTAATAAAATTAATTTCTAAAAATACATTTTGTTGCCCTTCTTATTTTTGGGTAAATCGAAAATTCAATTTATTTCTCCTAAATCTATGCACATATACATATATATATTTGTACATTTTAAAGTAGTAAGGAAGAAACTTTCATTAAAATGTTTTCATCTACATATACATATAATATTTATATATGTTTTTACTAGAACAAACCTTATAAAAGCCAACGTTATCAAATTATATATGTACAAGTGTTATATGCATGTTCAAATTGTAAAAAGAAAGCCTGAAAAATACTTATTCAAACCAAAACAAAGATAATTTTCAAAATCCTTAAGGTACATACACATGCAAGCATGTATCAAGAATCAAGTAAATAATTTAGTGAATGTCTTAGGCCATTTTCGCTTAACTCATTTTAAAAAGAAAAACTCATTTAAGAAAGTATTTTCTTTATACGTACATTTACACACACATACGAGTATATTTAATTTCTGTATTTAATTTATATTATAATATATTCATACAATCGCATACATACACACGTATGTTTCAAAATACGTTTCGAAAAAAGTCGGATAAGAAAATTTAGAAAACTAAATAACTAAAGGAAAAGGTAGTGAAAACAAATACAAAAGCAACGGAAACTTCGTTGAAACTGGTGCATAGAAGAAATAACTTTTTTATTTTTAGGTTTTTACCATGTACTCGTATACAATAGATTTCCCTTTTCCAAATAAAATTTGCAATATACTATTTTTGTAAAAGAAAATTTTATAACTTCTCTTTCATATTAATTTTTTTATCCTTTATTTTTATTATATTTTAGAATAAACCTTATATTTTGATTAAAAGTAAAAAAAATGTGATTTTGTTTTAATTTTATAATTTTTATTTTGAATTTATACAAAAATATATAAAAAATATAATAGTGATGGCCAGTATACATATTACGAGTACTCGTATATCAAAAATTTTACTTTAAGAAGTAAATAAAGAAAATTTCTTAATAAAAGTGTAGAACAACATATCGTGTATTTAACTTATCATGGACCAGAAGATATTTTAGTGTCAATGTAGCTACCTCACAAAAATAACATGTACGAGTATAAATAAAATTCAATCAGAAAGCATAACAAAAAAAATATACGTAGCGTGAAACATTTTTTAAATAATACGACCTACAAAAAAAAAAGGAAAGGACTTTCTGTCCGTTCGTTCCAGCGATAATTGCTTGGCTCCTTCTTGAGAGTTATTTGGCTATATATTAAAAACGTTTCAACCTGCAGTACTGAAATTTTTCAAAAAGAAATATGGTGAAAAGGCTATTATATTCACTGAAAGTTTTTGAGATCTCATGAGCATTTGTGACAGCTGTCACACAACTCCAAAAGTTATTTGGTCATATCTCAAAAATTATTCAGCCCATAGTTTTGAAAATTTACAAATAAATATATTGGTAGGGCGTTATGTTTGATAAAATTCGTTGAAATTCCTTAAACTGCTTGTGCTAGCTGCAGTATAACTTCATAAGCTGTTTGTTCATAGCCCAGAAACTATTGAAGCCACAAAGCTGAAATGTTGAACAAAGCAGTTTGATGATGTGGCCGTTATTTACAGTAAAAGTCTTTTAGATTATATGGGATTGTATGATTACTACCATATGTGTATAAAATATCCCAAGACATATAATAAAGTTAAAGTCAAACCAATGGTTTGTATTGTAGCACTTTTCCCTTTAACAAGTGAAAATTCTTCTTTTGAATACAGTCTATGTATACCTATCACACTATTAAAATATTATTTTCATTCATATACAAACCTATTTCTAGGATTGCATATATTTAGGATGAACGATTTATGCAGTCTTTGAAATAAAGCAAAAATTAATATAAAGAGGGGTTAACATAATGCTCGATTTTAAGGTTTAATTGTGTGAGTTAAGAAAAATAATTATATTTTTTAATGTCATGGAATTTACCGTTAGCTTCTTGCGCTAATAAAAATTTTAAAAATCTTGCGGTTTTGGAAATATAGGTGTCAAAAATTCAAATTTTCAAGAGGCGACAACTTGAGAGGGGGTGGACATGGAAAAAAATTTTCTTCTAACGAAATGAAGCATTTATTAGTGTCTAAAAGCCCCTAAAATTTCAACCTTCTACAGGCTGGGGTCTAGAAGAAAAACAATATGAAAAATTTGTAAAAAACGGACTTTAGATAACAGTAAATTTGAACGGCCATTTTGTTTTTCTAAAGTTTAACAGTAGTATACCGCGCTAGGGGAAGCAAGCCACTGCCTTTCTGCTTTTGCAAAATTTCAAAAATGCTTATGGTTTCACTGCACTAAATAGTTAAAAAATGGCATTTTTATGGTTTTGGGGGGGTATAACTTCTAGAGGTGGGGAGATAAAAATTTAGGTAAAAATTTAGAGGTGGGTGAGGTAAAAATTTTTTTCTACGGAAATAAGTTTCTGGTAAAGATCTATGTACGTATTAAATTTCAGCTTTCTATCTTCAAGGGTGTAGAAGTTTTGTAAACAAGAAAAGTGTCCACGGACGGACGGACGGACGGACAGAGTGAAACTAATAGCACTTTTTTTCAAAAAACTTTTGGTATGGTATGTTAACTATAAGCTTACTCATGTCCTAAAAATTGGAAAGAAGTATTTAACAGACATTTTTATAATATTCTGTAACATTTTCACTTAACTAGACAATACACATTGCGGTTGGTTATGTGCTGGCCACATCAGATTTTTTTAGTTTTGTTAATAGAAGAAAGTACATAAGAAACATGTGTATATGTAAAATTTCGAAATAAACCACAATGTGTTAACAAATGTTATTTGTTAACACATTGTGGATTGAACACAATATATAAAACCTGCTTATTGAGTTTTGTTCGTGTTTATTTTGAGGCCGACTCCCGAAGTTTCTCTTTCTAGTAGGTTTATTTTAGTCTGCATATTCGCTTATGTATTCGAGTTAAGAGCCAGATATTGTCTGCTTACCCAAGATTCTCCAACCTGTTGGTCAATCATATTAATTTCATCACCTCATTCAGCTCCATTCTCAGAACTGGTATTCTCGTTCATGCCTTAATGACGCTTACAATTTTTCTGAGAACACTCTTGTAATATAATGTATATTTAGCAACAGCCTCTTATGTATCGTATAGAAAAGAGTGATATCCCTTCTATTCATGCATTCTTGAAGATTGGCTTTCTTCGACAGTTTTATAAGTATTTCTTCTTTACATTTGTTATTTATTTTGACTTCTTTCCAAATCTTCGCTACAGTGGGCCCAATAATTGTAGCCGCCAGATCAGGGTTTTTATTTTTCAATCTCATGATTGCATCCCTTTATCTCTTTTTGGGATGGAGGCCTAGTGTTAAAGTGGTCGATATTGCTGTTCTTTTAGTCCTCTTTTAGGGTAGCACAATTCAATTGTTTCATTGGAAAGTTCCCTCCATCTTCACAAGTTGATCTTGTGTGTTTATGATCAAGTTACCTTTTTTATCTTTTATTGGATGGTGTCTTTTGATGTTTACTTCTTGTAAGGTCATTAATGTATTTATATAAGCGCCTCATGTTCTTCATGTTAAGTGTCGCCTGTGCTTCTCTGGCTATATTTGTTGTGGAATTTTCTCTTTTTGTTAGCTTCTTAACATATTTTTCATTTGAATGGTATAGTGTTCTTCTTTCTGGATTTTTATTTTGTTGGAGTTGCCTATGGAGGCAACGCCAGACCTCAAGTTATTCCAGACGTCATCCAATATCAACATCCTCTTTTCTGGGCGTACTGTGTCTCATACGATTTGTCTTTATATGTTTATTATGTTATTTGCGTTTATATTTCTTGTTTTCTCTGTTATTTTTGACTTTTGAGTGAACCTTAAAAGAAAAAATATTATGCTACAACAACAAACGCCTTTTATAAATTAAATTTGAAAACAAAATAAGGTGTCAAAGAATTAGAAAAATAATTTTTTTAAATACAACAAGTATAATATAAATATACAACATTAGACACTTGTTGGTATTCCCCAAGTAAGGAAAAAGAAATTTCATTCAATTTAAAATGGACGTTGCACAACCTTCTCTATCATCCGATCTTATAATAGAGTTTTAGGAAAGTGAACTCTAAAATGAGGTTTTCCAAAATTTTATTTGGAAATGCAACTCTAGTGCTTAATTTATTTGAGCAGTATTGCTCAATAATTTTGAGTAACTAAGAAACTTTGACTGATATTGTCTGCTACATTTCTAATGTAATGTTAAAAAATATTTTATGCTGATTGGAACAATAAATGTCACCAACGAAAAGAAAGCAAAGATAAGTTTTGTTAACAAATGAGTATTATTTGTAAAATTTTCATTTTTTTTGAATTATAAAATAAGTTAATAACCTTGATTTTTTACTTTTTTTCTTTCTAACAGGTTCGAACCCTTTTTGTTAGCGGTTTACCGATGGACGCAAAACCTAGAGAGTTATATCTTTTATTTAGAGCTTATGAGGTAAATTATTTTTTAAACAATTCATTTGCAAAACAACTTTGTATTGTAAAGAACAACGTTCGATTTCACAACTAGACGTTTAGTTTAAAACTTAATTTTTGAGTATTTAAAATAAAACCTAAAAGTATCTCATTTATGTTAATATTTTTTAGGGTTATGAAGGTTCCTTACTAAAAGTTACCAGTAAAAATGGAAAAACAGCATCGGTAAGTCTTTTGATTACGAATTTTAGAAAAGTAAAAAAGCAGATTACCTAAAATATTACAAATTACTGAGCAAATACCTTAACCGGGTCAAATTCCGTTTCCTATGTAAAATTTTTTTAAAAACAGGCATTTGACCAGTATCAAACGTTATTGCAGATCAGACAAATTTTTTATATTTTGAATATTTTATAAAATCAAATTAAATGTAAAGGTAATTGATGTTTGATTTTTCATTGTAGCCTGTTGGATTTGTCACATTCCATACAAGAGCTGGAGCTGAAGCAGCTAAACAAGATTTGCAAGTAAGATCTGTTGATTTCTTATAGTTTTTAGTATTTTTTATCAGTTTCTTATAAAATATTGATTAAACGTTGATTTATTTTAATATTTATCATCCAAAAATTGTTATTAAGAAAAAAAAATTGTATTCCTTTCCTGATAAATAACCTTAGTTTAGTTGAAAAAAAGAAAATCCTAAATATTCCCGCAATTATGTTAAATGCATGTTTTATAGAAAGAAAACTTCCTTTTTTCTATTTACAATAAAATCTAAGAAATTTCCTTCTATAAGCATGCAATTAATTTTTGCATATATATATCCTCATATATTTTTATTTTTTGTTCATATTTGTATGTCTAACCAAACTGACAGGTTTTTACACAAAAAAAATAAGATCCTTCAAAAAGGAAACAAAATAAACAACAAAATCGTATAATTTTTCTCACGAAAAAGTAAACATTCACACATTTCAATTCTATTTTTTGTTGTTTTATTTAATAAAACTAAAAATTGAAACAAATAAAATGTGCAAATTGCAATTAACATGTATTTTATCAACGTTTATTTGATGATGCAAACTTTAAATTTAATAAACAAATTTTCACATATATGTGCAAAAAAAAATCAGTAACTTTTGGACTTTTAAATGCACGGAACTACTTGAAAAAACTGAATTGATTTTGTTTTCAAAATTTGCATAATTACTTGAATATATACATACGTCACATTTTAAATTAGCCCTTTAGTAACAAACATTGCCAATTTGTATAAAATAAATCATCGAAAATTTACAATGAAATTATTATAATTACAAATTTATCATAAAAAAATTAAATTATTCAATGCTCAAAAAACTTTACTTAAAATATAAAAAATATTTAGCGTGCATGCATATTTAAATTTGTTATATAAATTGCACTTTCAATTGCGAAGTGAAATCATAAAGTCTTAACTGTATTTAGCAACACTCTATTCTTAAAACTTTATCTTATTCATAAATGAAAATTTAAAAAAAATATTTTGAAAATCGATTCATATGCTCATCTCTGTTACTGTGCTCATCTTGTTTATGCATAAAAATATTTTTATTATCTTAATAAAATTATAAGAAAAAATCCGAAAAAATTTTAATTTTTTGTTTTAAAACAAAATCATGATCAAGTGTGTCAAGTAATTATATTGTCAAAATCCCTATACGATGGGAAAATATATTTAAATTTGGCTTTTTAGGTTATTTGACTATTGCAAAGGCACTAAATAAATATGTATTTGTGGAAACTTGTAGTTCCAGTACAGAGCCACGTGTTAAAATGAATTTTGTTGATTGAATTTAACTCAATATTTATTTTAACTATATAATTATAATTTTTTTTTTTATAAATCTACATTTAATTTTCTTTAAGCAAATTTTAAATAAGTTCAATTAAAATTGATTAAATTCTGTAATATACAAATGTACGTGCATAATCCTTTTAAACACTTTTCCAAAAAAATTTACAAAAATTCGTTTTGCCGTTTTGAAAAATCTACATTAGTCTGTCCGTCTGTATATCCGTTTATAAAACTTCAAAGCCTTTTAATATAAAAAGCTGAAATTTTGTATATAAATTGATCTTTAACATAAACTTTAACAAAAACAAAACTTTCATTTATTCAAACGAAATTATTAAAAATATGTCAGCTAGTAAAGAAGAAATTACTGTTACAATTTGAGAGTATTACAATTATAAATAAATTTTAATAATCTGTAAAACAAAATTTAGAAATAATACGACAAATACACTTGAAATGAGACATAAAAAAATATAAGCCAAACCTCATACAAAAACGGTAACTGTCAAATTACTTTGTATTTGCTTACCGCTATTCTCTAAGATTCACCACTAGAACAAATGCATTTCTATTGCAAAGCATGTCAATGGACAAGTACAACTGCATGTCAGAAATAGATCGCGCCAACTCCCACTGCATAATTAAGTACTTAATTTTGATTTTATAAGGGTCGTTAATTTTTAATAAACTACATAATATATTAGCAGTTTTGAAAAAATCTATAATATTAAAAACGCATATTGGCAATTATAAGAAATATTTTTGCATAATGAGGAAGAACTTCATTCAAATATCATTTTGTTTGTGCTAATTTTTTCAATTTTATATAACATAAAAATCTGAAAATTCAAATATGCTACACGTTTTTAATTGCATTTGCACATTTTTTTGTTTTATTCACATAAAATAATATATACATATATATATATATATATATATATATATATATATATATATAAATATATATATATTGTTTTTTATATACATAAGTTATAATAAAAATAAATAAAATTAACACACACACTCACAAATTTTACAATGTATTACTTTTTCTTTTCTATTATTTTCTTATACAAATTAGTTTTGTTTTGCCTTCAATTAAGTGAATATATGAATATTTATAAATATACACATACAAATTTTTTTTTATAATTGTTTGTATATATATACATATATACATATAATTATCATGAAAATTAATTTGAATTATCTGATCTAACATCACACTACTTAATTTTTAAACAAAAGAGAAATTCCAAAAAATTTTATTACATTTATTTACAATTATTACAAATTAGTTCTTAACTCTTTTTGTAGGTTGCTAGATATATTATTTATACCTATACATAATATATACATACAGAGTGATTGAAAACACTTTTTAAAATAATTTATACACAAGGCGTTTCAAATAAGGTGGCAAATAATTTCCGGGATGATTCTTTGATCAATTTCCAGAAAAAAAGTGTTTGAGTAGAAAATTTGCATTTTTTCGCATGTTTTCAAACACATTTAACACGCTTTACTGGCAAAACTATGAGAGATAGAGGAAAATGTTATATGGGTTAACTTTAAGAATAAAAAAAAGAATAACCAAAAAAATATAAGCAAATTTTCCAGAAATTTCGAGTTTCAAAAAAAAATTCGAAAACTATGGCTCAAATCAAATTGATTGTAGGAAAATACAGAGTAATTAATCTTCTGTGAAACCAGCACCCGATGGTTATTCTATGTCGTACGGTTCTAAAGTTGTGAGCATTCTAAAATTGAACCGTAATTCAAATTAAAAATTTGTTTATATTAAAAAAAATCTGTTATCATTTTTTCCACAGACTGTAGCTCGAAGACGAGTATATTTGCACCACCTTGAACAGAAATTTATCAAAGAATCATTCCTGAAATTATTTGCCACCTTCTGAAAAACACCCTGTATATATACATATATGATGGTTAAACACAATTTTTAATTTCACATTAAAACCTACTAACACACTACTATTACTATACTGTATTTAACTCTTCCTGTTGTATTCATAATTTATAAAATTACATGATATTAAATAAAAAAAATCTATAATTTCTTGTTTTCCTTTCCTGTTTGTGAAATAAAAATCAACAAATTAATAGTTTAAATAAAATTTATAGCTACTCAAAGCCTATATTTTTTCTTTTATAAAAAAAAAATTGTTATGCATTGTGTTTTCGGGATAAGCCCCTTTGCACTTAAAATTTAATTGTAGTCACCGTTTGGCATAGCGTCAACAACCAAGCGTTAGTGCAAATTATTGCACAGTAATATATTAATAGTAAATTAAAAAGTAATTCATATGCAAATGATTACTTTCAATTCATTTTTTTTCGTTTATAGATAAAATTGTCAAAAATATAGTTTATAATTAAATAAATCAATATACCTATACATAAATGAAATTTCAAGCTTAGATCAAAAGTATCAAAGAAAAAACTTACCCCAAAATTTACGAAAAAATGTTAACCCTTAAATTGCATTGTAACCCTTCATATTTTCTGTTGCACTAATTGGCCTACCTTTAGAAAATATATAAATCCTTTGATATGTTTTTATTATACGGTATATATAGAAGAACATTTCAAAGAATGAATGTATGTATTTCCTAGGTTTTTTAGTCATTTAGTTATTATTTTATAAACATACCTATTATAAATAGCTAGACACCTTTAGAACATCTAGTTTTTAAGTTTTTTTTATAACTATATTATAATGGTAGCATAAATAATTCGGGAACGTGCACTTTCGGTGTACTTATTAGAAAACTGTTATAATAGTTTAAATTGGCTAGAAATAGTTTTAACTATATACATATACTCGTATATGTATAAAATGATATATTTTACAACATCATCTGTAGAACATGTGCAATAATGAACAAAACATGTGTAGGATAAAAATTACGTTTTCAAAATTTAGATTGAAAATTAACAATTATGTAATATGAAACATAAATTTTGCGACTTAAACAAATGAATTGAAAATTGTTGCCTTTTAGTGGTATATATAAAAAAAATATTTTATATATTTTAACTAAGTTAATTAATAAAAACCGAAAAGTTATTTTCTGATTATTTTTAATAATAACATATCAAATAATATACTTATATTCAATGTTTGTTTTAATTTCTCGTTTTTTTAAAATCGAGTGTAGTGAAAATGATTTGGCATTTAATTTTTAATTTCATAATAATTCTTCTGCAAATACATATTAATAGCAGAAGAATTATTATGAAAAATTGTTCTTTCTGTGATAATCGGCTTGAATTATTGTAGTTGAATTGTAAGTCATACACAAATTAAAAAATCGTTCGTAGTAGTAAATTTTTTATTCAAAGATTTTCTTCTAAAATATTTTAACAAAGTGCTCACAATTTATTATATTTACTCCGCTAATATGTATGGGATCTAATGAACTGGTTTGATTTAAGCTTGAAGGTTGTTCATACTTTTAAGGTTTTGGAAAGTTTGAATTAGTAACATAAATAATAATTAATACATATATACATATATATGTAGTATGTCAATCAAGACAATTTAATATATTTGTGTAAAAAAAGTAGGTATACAATTGTATAATAAGAGTTTAAGTTTTTACCTCGCTATATATCGATTTTTTAACTCGTAGGTTTAAATTTTGCCTAGAAAGACTAAGTCAAGCATTGGCATTGTCTTGCTTTCTTTAATACAAAATTTTCTTGTCAAGCAATCGCAATTAAAAACTAATAATGTGTTTTAATTCTCAATATGTAACCTTCCATCCATCAATAAAATAGTTTCCAAGGCAGTTTGATCCGATACAAACTCAGTTAAATGACTAAAAATAATTAATTTATTATATACTTTTTACCAACAAAAAAAAACAATATACAAAACATTTTTTTTTAAGTATTGTAAAATGTAATTGCATTAAAAATATAATATAGATATAAAAATACTTTATTTATAAAAAAATCCAAATCATACAACAAAATATCAAAAACCAATTTGCAGCAGGGTGTACGCTTCGATCCTGATATGCCCCAAACAATTCGCTTGGAATTCGCCAAGAGTAACACTAAAGTGAGCAAACCTAAACCACAGCCCAATACAGCGACAACAGCCGCACATCCTGCATTGATGCACCCACTCACTCAACGTAAGTAAATTCATAAAAAAAAAAGAATATTCAAGATCTGCAAAAGTAAAAAACGTAACAAAGACTCGCAAAAATTTCATACATTAAAATATTAAAAAAAACATTACGGCCATCGATAAACAATTGCGTACATACTTTAATCAGTAATATATGAGGCAGCAAGTAATTATTATGATTTAAAGAAAACTTCAAAAATTTTGTTTTTTAGTGTTTATTTTCTGCAGCATATTACAAACTATTGGAGCATAAAAGAAAATTTCCTTTTGATTAAAACAAAATTTTTGAAATTTACATAATATTTTTTAGATCTATAAAATTTCTAGAGAAAACAAAAAATAGCGCTAAAAACTTTTCCATGGAAAAAAATAATTGCACTCCTCTTACCTTTATAACTTGTACTACAATTATTTTGCTTCTTATTAAAAAAAATCTACTCAAAAATATACCTAATCAAAGTCGTAAGTAATTTTCAATAAATCAAAAAAATTAAAATTGTTTAGCACATTACTATTTCCTGTATCATATGTATTTAGAACAATTTTATTTAGAACACAATGAATCCTTAATATTTTTTTTACAATAAGTACATTTACATTCACCAGTCAAAGCAATAAAAATAATATGTTGAACACAAATTTTGTTGAAAATTTATCAAATTATTGTAATTTAGTTAGCAAAAAGAAGAAATTTTTTTGTTTATTTTATAATATACATACAATATTAAATGAAAAGAAAACCGCCACTTGATATTATATATAATTTTAAAAAATTTATGTAACGTATTTTGTATACACCAAATCAGCGATTTATTCCTATATCTTTATACAAAAACATTTTTGCACAATCAAAATTGTATACATATATATATTATATAATACAACATATTTTTATATAATAATAAACTTTACACTTAGCAAAAAAATAAAGCAAATTAATTCAAAAATGTACAAGCAAATTTATTTTCTTTCTCTCAAATGAAATTTTCATAAGGCAGAAAAACTTACACGCTAAAAACATTTGCATATGTATGGCAACACTGTTTTTTTCTGTAGGAAATTTTCACAATATTAAAAGCAATGAAAATACGAAATGCAGCATACAAATCTATATATATATATATATATATTTATATATATATATATATATATATTTATTTAGCATGCAGTTTAAACTGTAAAAACTAAAATATATGCAAAGTATTTAGTTAAGAAAGCAATTAGAAAAAACGTCACTTTTCCTAAAGCAATATCCTCAAATTCCTTTAAACCTATATGAAAACGTGTTAAAAATATTTTAACAATAAATTAAGCTTAAAAAAGTATTTTTTATTAATTTTAAGTAATTAATCAAAAAATAACGATACACAAGAAAATAGTTTTTGACTATCGATATAACTATTAACGTGATATTAGCCAACGCATTCGTTCTGAAAGTTCAAGCGCTCTTCTATAATAAATCTATATTATTAACTAATCTAAAAAAAATAAAATAAAAAACGAGAAAACCATTTCGCTTTTTTAAATTGAATCGAAATCAAGTTAATGCAACAAACTTTGTTAACTAAGTTCAAATAAAATTATGTTCTTTTTTTATCACTATTCTAACAGATTTGGGCACACCATTCTTTCCCAGTGGACCTGAATTATGGCATCATCCTTTAGCTTATTCAGCTGCAGCAGCTGAGCTACCAGGGGCAGCAGCATTACAGCATGCAACACTAGTGCATCCGGCTCTGCATCCTCAAGTGCCGGTGCGGTCTTACCTCTGACTAAATTCCGAGAAAGTTTTAGAGCAGCAGCCAATGCACCCACAAGTAAGTTTGACATATTATGATTACGATATTAATATTACACGATTATTAAAACCACAAATTTATTCAGTTTTATCTACAAGTTTTATCAAAAATTTTACTGGTAATCAAAAATAAGCTCCGACTGGCAAAAATTACTTCAAAATAAACAGGAAAAGATAATTTTCTTATAAAACAAAACGAATTTTTTTTATAATTTGGATCATCTACAAAATACTGTCAAATTCCTACAGCACAAACTCTCGTTAGGCGAAACCTCCCTTTCCATGTTGCATTTTCATCATAAACAAGTTGCAATTGCTAACTCTTTATATTTTGCATTATGAACAGAATTTTCAGGTATTTTTAACTCCGTAACGGCAGGATTATATAAGGGTTGAATCGAAATTCTCCTTATCACGAATTTAGCAAAACAAAATTCAAAGGTTGTCTATCGTTTTATTGTAAACAACCTTGTAATTTTTCCTAATCCTGAACTTTAAATTCTCTCTAACTAGAAACAAAATTTTATGTTTGCAATATGGTTATTCGTGCTGTGGAAGTTGGATTGTATGTGCCTTTATTTTTTAACAATTCGTTTTTAGAATTCAAATCGTTTCCAACATACTTAACATCATATTTTAAGACCCTTATCTCTTATTCAAATTAAATTGTTGTTTTTGGGGAAAAAAGCTGAAAACACCCCCAAAACATCATAGAAACCAAATATAAAAATTGTAAGCTAAAAACTGCAAAAAATAACAAGTATTCATATGCGAAGTATCACCAATATGTATATGACGCATATTATGTATTTATTAATTTTGATTTCAGTTTTTTGCTTATGTTTTTAAATCGAATTTCAAAAACTTAAAATTATAAAACTCAAACCGAATATTTAGTTAAACTATTATTAAAATTTTTAAAATATTTATTATTAAATTGCATGTATAATAATAAATTGTGTTTTTTTCTTTTCTTTTTCTTTAATTTTCTCTTTCTTTGTTTAATATTTGTTTTGATCTCCGGGTACTTTACTCTTACTTAATATTAACTCATTTTATTTTACGTTTACAATTTTTACCTTTGTTTGAATATGATTTGTTTGTTTTATTTTGTTTGTTCTTTTCGTTCTTTTTATTTAGATTTACTGTTATGATCCAACTGTTGTTGTTGCAGACACTGACTACTATGCCGCCGCAGCACCACCATCCACATTCAGCAATACACCCAGCAGCGGCAATAGCAGCTGCAGCAACACCAGCCTCAATGCATGTATCCGTAACCTCACCGGTAACAGTTACACAACAAGCATCGGCAGCAATGGTACAACAACAAACTGGCCAACAACATTTTCTACAAAGTCCCGCTTTGGCTAGTCCAATAGTAAACTCTAACGCCACTATTGCTGCTATTGCTGCTACAAATAATACTAATAATTGTCATAATATCATAAATAATAATACATCAATAATGACTACAACAGCAACATCAACACCAAACATTATAAATAATAATCATACTAACAATAATAATATTATGCATAAACTTAATCATAATAATTTCAATAATACGAATAGCAATAACAATCACAATAATCATAATAACATTAATTTGTTAAATGGTGGTAATGCAGGAAATTTGAATGGTAATATAATAAGTTTTCCACGTAATACGGCCACATTGGCTGCTGCTGCTGCAAATGCATCTTGTTCTACACTATATGTTGCTAATCTAGGACAATTTGTTTCTGAACATGAACTAAAGGAAATATTTTCAAGGTAAGACAATTTTGTATCTAAACTGCAAATAAATCAAATAAAATTAAAAGAAAAAATTATTCTAAAAATGAAGCTCATATTTTTGAAACAAAATAAAATAGTTATGTACATATGTAGAGTTATTGTAAATTAATTTTATAGTGCTAGCCAACATTTTCATTTAGCAAGATTTCTTGTTTCTTTTCATTATCAATGATTCAGAATCAATTTTAAATTAACTTAAATTATATTCTTTTTAAAAACAATAACAAAAAATGCTAATTTCATTAACGCTGCAAAACTTACAAAGTTAACTTAGTAAAGTTAGAATAAATTAAATAATTTAAGAATTATAATAAAATTATACATTTGTAGTTAAAAAATAAGATGTAATAAAGTTGGGTCAAACCAATGGTTTTTGGTAATGGTAGCACTTTTCCCTTCAACAAGTGAAAATTCTGCTTTTAAATACAGTCTATGTATACCTATCACACTATTAAAATTATTTTCATTCATATACAAAACTATTTCTAGGATTGCATATATTTAGGATGACGCATATATGCAGTCTTTGAAATAAAGCAAAAATTAATATAAAAAGGGGTTAACACAATGCTCGATTTTAAGGGTTAATTGTGTGAGTTAAGGAAAATAATTATATTTTTTAATTTCATGGAATTTACCGTTAGCTTTTTGCGTTTATAAAAATTTGGAAAAGCTTGCGGTTTCGGAAATATAAGGTGTCAAAAATTCAAATTTTACGAATTTCAAGAGGTGATAATTTGAGAGGGGGCGGAGATGAAAAAAAATTTTCTTCTAACAAAATGAACTATTTGTTAATATCTAAAAGCTCCTAAAATTTCAAGCTTCTACAGTCTGGGGTCTAAAGGAAAAACGACATCAAAAATTTGGAAAAAAAGGACTTTAGATAACGGTAAATTTGAACGGCCATTTTGTTTTTCTAAAGTTTAACTATAGCATACCGCGCAAGGGGAAGCAAGCCACTGCCTTTCTGCGTTTGCAAAATTTCAAAAATGCTTTTGGTTTCATTGCAACAAATATTTAAAAAAGGCCATTTCTAGGGTTTTGGGGGGGTATAACTTCTAGAGGGGGGGAGATAGGTAAAAATTTTGTTCTACGGAAATAAGTTTCTAGTGAAGATCTATGTACGTATTAAATTTCAGCTTTCTATCTTCAAAGGTGTAGAAGTTTTGTAAACAAAAAAAGTGTCCACGGACGGACGGACGGACGGACAGAGTGAAACTAATAAGCACTTTTTTCAAAAAAATTTTTGGAAAAGTGCTAAAAAGCTAATATCAAAGCGGAAGAATAGATGGATTTTTTTTTGATTCAAAAAAATAAGTCAAAGAGTCTCCAAGTGTAATCACATAAAAATAAAGTTAGAAATTAAGATCAAGTCAACGGATTTTGATATGGCACATTTTATTTGTAAAACTCTTGATTTTATTCTTTTTTTTAAAACAGGGAGCCTGTATGTTATAGAGCTTTTTCTAGTTTTTGTTCTCCACTTCTCTCCCCTCTTCTTCCACTCCGTAAAAGTTAGCGTTAATTTTTGTAATATAATTTTGGTACATTAATAAAATAATTTAAGTCGACGATTTTCTTTAAAGAAGTATGCATCTTGTTCGAGGAAAAGTGCTATTTTATAAGCCATTGGTTTAATCCAAATTTTTGTACATTAAATTGCAACTTTGTATACTAAAAGGTATAGAAATTTTTCATTGACCGGCGAGCAGAATAAAAAACAGTGTGAAAAACGTTAATGAAACAACGTTTTTTTTTTAATTTTTAATTTTGTTACTTTACTTCTAAACTTCTAAAAATTTTCCACTATTCACAAGTTTTTCTAATCTGCACATCCTTTTAAGCTTTTATAGAAAAATTTAAATTATCAATCGAGATCATTTTTAAATTTTTACAACAATTGGCAAACTAATAATTAAAAGTATTTAATTCTTCAAAATTTATTTTTATTGAAATTTCACTTTCATGTTCCCTATGTAAGGGAGTTTAATGTATGTTAACAAAGGAGTATTGTCGTACTAGCCCACTTTTGTTATCAGTTTTTTTTTCATCAAAAATTTCTTATTCAGTGTTTCTCATTTAGAGTTGACTAAAATTATGCAGTATGTCTTAAGACAATGAAATTAAGTGGTGGTACTGATAATCTCATCTACATTAATAATTCGGTGAAATTACATCTCATATGTGAAGCAAAATTAAAATTCAGAAATTTTTAGAATCGGTTTACAGAAAAAAATCTTGTAAAACTAAATATTCAATTCGAATTTTTCATAATGCAACATATGGAGTTCGGATTTGATCTCAAAACTAATATATCGAAGCCACCATTAAATTTTAATCTACATTAAAATTAGGATTCATTAACATTTTTCTATAATCCAACTTTAAAGTAAAGTAATATAATTATATAGTATTTTTATTTTTACTTTTTTATTGAACGTGCAAAAATTTTAAAGCATAAAAATGTATGTACATTTTCATTTAGATATTTATGCAGTAACTATTTTTATTTAAATATTAATTTATTTAGCTTTTTTCTTTAAAAATTTTGTAAGATTCGATTGCATTGTACAACATATACCTAGATATACCTTTTCTTTAATTTTCTCTCAATTTACTTTTGAAAAGAAATCTATTTACTCATAAATATAAATACATATTTGAATTTATATGTTTTTCATTTTTCCCTCACCTATAAATTACACATTATTTTGTTATAATTTATATATGTATAATATAAAAATGTACATATAATATGTATAAAAATGTACACAAAAAATATAATATAAATATGTTAAATGCACATCAGTATGCCTGGCTTTTGTCGACTTCGTATGCACACAAAAAGAGGTTCACACAATTTTGAGCAATCAACAAATAATAATTTTCTTAATACAACAGTATTAAATAATATCACCAACAACAACAACAAAATTAGCGGCACTTCAAATGTACAACCAGTTTCACAACAACACCAGCAACAACGATCACCTACTCTTCACAATAAAAAAGCGTTATTAAATAGTTTTCTAACAGAACACGAATTGAGTGTTTATAATTATAATAATAATAATAATAATAATAATAATAATAATAATAATAATAATAATGATAACAATGATAATAATAACAATACCATTGACTTTCCTATTGCACTTGTTGACTACAAAGATCCAATAAGCGCCGGTGCAGCAATGAATAATATGCAAGGCAAATTTCTATTATCATCGGATCGTGGAGGTATTCGTATTGGATATGCCAAACAAAAATTAATTAGTGAATTAGTTCAGTATAATAATAAACCAACAGTAATAAACAAGAGCACAACGTTCTCTAAATCTTTGCTTCTAAGAAATAGTACTTTAGCTACAACCGCACATATACAAAATAAAAACAACAATAAAATACCACAAAATCATATCAACATTGCAAATGCACAACTAATTCAACGACAGCAACATATGAAACATCAACATAAACTTCAAGAACAGCAACATCGATACTTAATTCAACAAGAAATGTCATCACAAAATAATTTGAATGTTCAATCGCACCAAACGCACTTATTATTAAATAATAATTTTAACAATATTATTTATAATAATATAAATCACAATTTGCACCATAATATTATAAATAAAAGCAACAATATTATTATTAACAATAATTATAATAATAATATTAACTCAAATCAACAGCACCAAAATCACCATATTATTAGAGACGTATGTATATTAATTTATATAAATGTTTTTTTTCTTGTATTTATAATTGTTTATTTTTCATTATAACGTACATGAAATTTGTCTATATTGACTTCATTTATTTACTAGTATTATAATATCAAAACACTTTATTGTATTTATACGTATTAACCGTTCAACAGCCCTTTTTTCCCAATTTTTATTAATATTTTATTTTTTTACTTCTTCCAAAGTCTTTCACATAAATTATTCACAAAAATATATTATAATAAACATCAAATCATTTAATTTTTAGACTTTTATAATAACCAGTATAAAAATTTTTATATTTAAAATTTATGTATACTTGTAATTTATTTTTTATTAAATTTTTCACAATTAGGAGAACTTTATTTTATTTTCTTAAAAAGAAATCTGAATTGCTATATTATTTATGACAACATGTACCTGTATATACATATAACGTATATAGATATTAACATTGAGTAAATTAATCTGGATATTGCCCTAATCTCATAACTAATCTTACTTATTTGCTTTCAAGATTACGTTATCCATTTTTATATTTGACATTCACACCTTGACGTTCACATCTTTTTTTGCCCATCTTCAAATTTTGACTTTTCTCATTAAGTATGCGTATTTTCACAAAACCTTTTGGTCAAAATTAGAGATCAACAATTATTGACACAGTCTACAGCTTTTACTAGTGAACACCTTTTTTGCTATACTGGTGTTAAAAATCATCGACCGATAAAGATAGGTGAACTCGAATCGTTGTCATACCTATCAATAATGGGGGACTTTAACACAACCTTAAACACATCTAACTTGCACACACTTCCGTACTTTAGTGTCTATATTCCGTGAAGGAAGACTAAATCAAGAGATTTCGTTGCCGTAAGCTTATCGTTTTTTATCGTAATCTTATTAACATTTATATGGCACCGATTTAAAATCTTAATTTAAGGGATGTGAATCTTGCCATTTACGTCTCATCCTTCTTTTTTTACTAATAAATCGGTTATATCTTTAGGATATTTATTTGATACAGATTTTAATTTCGTGTACATATCTCGTAATTTTCAATAAGTCGGAATGTCAGTAGAATGATAGCAAATGATAGCATCTCAATTCCGAAGAAGCTTCCCTTAGCTCTCTGCCCCTGGTTGAGACCATGTGAGACCATTTTCTCCAGCACATAAGAAATTCCTAAAAGTATATTTCTTTATATAACATCTTGGTGAACAATAAACTGAGTCAGTATTGAAGCTGCGTTGATATACTGAGCCATAATAAGCTGAGCCCCATCCATCTCCATTTTGGATTCTTTACTTTGCTTTATAGTACCATTAACTAAAATAGAACTACATCCTCTTGAATAATTACTAAGATAAGTTGCGTTAGCGTTCGAAGTAGCAATTCGTATTTTATTTTTGTAATTTTTCTGAAATTTTTCATAAATCCTTTTGGGATTGCTTGATATACATTAGTATATCTGTTCTAAATAGTAGGTCCAGTCAATCTCATGGAGGTTTCTTAGCAACATGTCTTGCATCATTTGTTTCATGTTTCATGTCAATTTATTGTTAAGCTATTTTCGTAAGTATGCCATTCTAATTTGGTCTTACCTTTAGTAAGTCGCCTGTATTCATATTCAGTTTCGTTATTCAAATGATCGTTATTATTTTAATGTCATGTAACTGGTTATATTATCCACTATTACTGGGAGAGGTTTATGTTTTTTAAGTTCAAGATTTTTCTTTGATGGAGATCTCTTTATTTTAATGTTATTTAGTTCCAATGGCGGTTCCATATTTAATGAATTTTTGGCTTTTCTCTTCTTTTTGTTTTTTTTTTATTTTGAGAATATATACGCTCTACGTCTCCTGCCTAACTATTAACTATGTCATCGAAACCACCGAATGGATTTGCAGAAACCCCTTTTTTGTTATTTTATTTGTTTAAATTGTAAAGTCATATAACTCATAATTTCTTATTTTACAATTCAAAGTAAGAACAAAAGAGCTCTTTAAAATTTATTTAACTATTCTATAAAGCAAGGCACTGCTATGCTTTATGAAATCATTTGTAATAATATTCCATATTGGTTTTGTATCAAATTGAGTTTCCTTATTTCTGAAAGACTCCCAAAATTGGAGTCATATTTTCTATAATATATACATATGTTCGTATTTTAGATTTATAAAATTCATATTTTATATTTATAATTAAAACATAAGTGAAATTGAATACTAATGCAAATTCTTTGTGTAACTTATTAAAAAATTATATTTTTTTATTTAATTTCATATTTGTCTTCGTCAAATCTTATATTTACTGATGTACCAACATGTATTTTATGACTATCGATAGAGGAGCAATTATGGAATCAAAACAAGAGTTATTTAATAAGAAAGCAGAAATTGAATATCATCCATTTTTGATGGCAGCTCCAACTTGACCAACATCGGATTATTTTAATTTTTATGAAAACCATAGCACTTCTGGAACTTATTTATGAAAAAAATTTTAAAATTAGGCAAGAAAGCAAAAATACAAATATAATAAACATATATGTAATAAAAATACCAAACTCATATTATCTGCAATCAACATTTAAGAATAAAATTACTTAATATTATTTTACCATCATTAATGACTATTGATCTTGTATGATAATTTAAAGCTGCTGTAGATGAATTATTTATAGATAAAATTTCATGAACATTAATGCATAAATATTTTATTTTGCATGTTATGGATATTATTTTGATTCAGAATTACTGTTAATTTGATATCATCTTTATAAAACAAAGAAATAAACAAAAGTGAAACGCAAAGTTACGTACAATTACTAATAACTATATTTGTTTTAATATAAATATAATTTAGATTTGTATAAAATTTTATTTAAAGCATAATTTCCAAACCAAATAAATAAACAAATAAATTCATAAATTTATAAAATAAAATAAAATTTTTTAAATTAATATATTAATTTTGTCCAAGATATATACATAGTTACATAAAATATACATACTTATATAAAAAATAATAATATTTAAACAAAAAAAACACATTGAAATAAAATAAGATTATTTGAACATTATGCGCGCAAAATTACCAAAAATCAAGTTAAAAACAAATGAAAATAATAGGTATTAATGGTCTATTCTTAATTATTATTTTATTTAATATAAATATCTTAATATAGTTTTATACAAACTGAAAACCAAAAGAAAAAATAAATAAATAAAAGAATGTAGAATATTTTATAAATTATTTGATTTTGCCCCCTTAATTTTTGTAACAAAGTACCTACGCTATTAACCGATTTAACTCGTTATGCCAATATATTATTAGCACAACTTATTTATATTACAATATCAATATTTATATCACAATATCATTGATTAATTGTTTATCCTCTGGCATTGCTAAAATAATTTCTCTGTCAGCATTTGCAATTAGTTTTATCTAAATTGATAAAAATAGATTATTTGAATGATTAATTATTCAATATAGGCAAATTTTTCTATTTCAAATCTAAATAATTTGCATTAATTTTACGCAAGAGACAAAAGGATTTTGGCAATAAATAAATTCATTTAGCAAATTACTATGTTCGATAAATGTTTAAAGATATTTTCAATTTGATATACTCAATCAGAAATATGTTCCAAAATTACAAACTTACATCATTTCCTAACTATTTTAACTTTTGATTACTGATTGGTTTCAGAAGCCATTTTTTTACGTCAAATTTGTTTATATATTTTAACAGCACATTTGGTCAAAAAATCTTCACTTTTTTTCTGAAAGACATGAATTATGTACTTAATTAATACATTAATTAAAAACTTTTAATGTGTTACAAACTTAAAACTTATGTACATAAAAAAATGTAAAATAAATTTTAAATTAAATAGTTTCCTAAACATATTTTTGACTTTAAATTTCCATCACATATTGTTATACAACTCTAATCATAATTATCACGTACTAAGCAAAGAAAAAATCTATTTTTACCATTAAATATGGTTTCGAAAAGGGACGGAAGACAAAGCTATTGAGTATTACAACTTATTGTTGAATTAACGAAATATTCACTGGTGTTTAAATTTATATATATAAATATAGTGCAGCATTTAACAGTAAATTCCTTTATATGCAAATGTATCTGTTAAAAAATAATTTGAATAAGATTTATCTTCAATAAGTAATTTCAATTTCATTATAGTTGGATAATTAATAATTTGGCAAAAACAAAATAACGGTTAATGTTAGTAGAAGCATATTTTTCATTTCAAAAATTTTTTTATTTTCAATTTTTAATATTGGTAATTCTAAGATATGCTATTATAATATCTTATGACGTAATGTCTATAATTTTTTAAAAAACTTAAATATTTTGTTATATATAAAGAGAAACCGGAACTCAAATTTAAAGAAAAAATGTATTCTGCAATTCTTTTATTGCTTGTGTAAATTTTGTTTTTGTCTGTGCATAATTATTTCGTTTTTAATTTATTTATTACTTTTGCATGAATATAGTTAAAAAAAATTTTGTTATAATTAAAACAATCATGATATTATAATTATTATATATGTACATTTAATAATAATTTAAAAAACCAACAAAAATTATTAACTCAAAAAATATTGTTTATAATATTTTAAAAAAAATTTAAAAAAAAAAATACATATATATATATATATAAAAATGTGAAATATCAAAACAATGTGTTTAAATAGTACGATATAAACTAAATAAGGGAAATAAAAAATGTCCCTTTTAGAAACAGAAATATATTAAAATGTAGATTAATAAATTAGAAAAGTAAGAAAAAAACTAAAAACTAAAAATTTTGTGAACCAGAAAAAAATATGTTCTTTAAAAAAAACTAATTTCTAAAAAATTTTGGAGAACCAAAAAAACAAAAGACAACATATTATTAAATTTTAAATGAAAAGCAATTTTATTTTATAGAAATTTAGTTTTCTGTTTTTCTAATTTCGTTATTGTTATTAAAAAAAATTAATAAAATATTAAAATTTCATGCATGCTATTCAAATTTATAATTTACAATCGGAAAAAAAATGAAAATTTATAAAATTTATTTTTGTTTACAATTATGTCATTTATAATTAACTACGAAAAAAATATTAAATGAACCAATACAACAATTATTTATAGTAATATTTTAAGTATTTATATAATAAAATAATATATATATACACATAGAATAAAGATAAAATATAATATTATTTAACATTTAAACAAACATTTTTCAAAATTCAATCACAATATTTTTACATTTTCTTCCTTAATGAATTTGTTTCGATATTTATATTATAAAACAAGATTTATTTAAAGGAAAAATATTTGCTGAAAATAATTCATGCCTAATAAAATATCATATAATTGTTTAACTTATTAGAAAAGATATAAATTTAGTTTTTTAAGCCAAACTTTTTTTACATATCCAGTCAATATATTAATTTATCGTAATATATTAATTTAAAATAACAAATACATACATATATAGTGAGATATAAATATGAAAAACAATATAATATATAACATACAAAAATTTGCAATGTTTAAAAACTTATTCTATTTAAATTAGTGCAAATTCTTATGAATAAAGCAATCAAAAAGAAAATTTTTTAAATTTTATAAAAAAAAGAAACAAAATATACTTTCCTCTTTTTTTAAATCGCTTTTAAAATTTTTGGGCAGAAAATTTGTTATATACTTGTACATGTTTTTTTACCTTATTTTACTTAAGTTGAAATTTGTAACATTTTAATATCAACTCATTCATATATAGTAAAATTTTTTAACTATTTTATCTAATACATTTAATTATTTTTTCAAAAAATCTCTCGGAGTATCTATCATTACAAAATTGGTTGTTTTAAATTTTGCAAACAAAAATATATAAAATCCTTTATTAAAAATATTTTTTTAAGTTGTAAAAATAATAAAAGATGAAAAAGTTAACATTCATATTTAATTATTTATACCAAACATACAAAATACTTGTATGTAAAATAATGATTGAAAATTTTGTAAGAGCATAACCAAGGTTTCGTAAATTACGTGCGTTTTTTGTATATTACAATTGCAATTACAGTGTTATAAATTTCAATATAATAATTTTTATATAACAATTTTAAAAGCAATATATATTTCCTGACATCAATACAAATAAGAAAACTTCGAAATCATCAAATATATTTAGTCATAATATTTATTGCAATATATAAATTACTGTATCTAACTTCGGAATCGCAGAAATACTATGTATCAATTCAAAATTCAGCAATAAGCATTTATAAACTGGAGTGTGCAATAACATACTGCAAATCTTATATTCGGGTATATCTTTTCTGCCACACTTTTTTTTTGTAATTATATTCAATATTAACTATATATATATTTATACTTGTTTAAAATATTTATGAATTTAAATAAATAATAACTTGCCTTCTTAATTTTATCTTTCGTAATAATATATACATTCTTATTTTCTTTATGATTTTGTATTGCTTTAATGTACGTACATATATTTAAAATATGTATGTTATATATGCATGTAAGTGAATTAATTAGTAAAAACATTTGAAATATAGTTATTATATATTTATAGCTTAACCGAATGTGCCCTTTTACATAGCTCTCTTTCTAAAAAAAACAATAAAAATAAAAGATAAAAAAATAATATGATAAAAATTCATTGTAAGAATAAAAATAAAAAAAAAGTATATTAACTTAGTTCAATTTTAAATTAAATAAATGAAATTCAGTAAATAGGGAAAAAAGTGCATGAAGTAAAAAATTTTAATATTATGATGCATCCATATATATATATATATATGGATACATATTAATATCAATATTTTATATACATTATAATATATATATATATATATACATATATATATACATATATATATATATATATATATATATACATATATATATATATATATATATATATATATATATATATATATATATATATATATATATATATATATATATATATATATATATATATATATATATATATATGTATATGTTTTGAAGATTTAGTATGATAATGGATAAATATTTCGAATAAAACGCATTAAACAGACCTGATAAATTATTTATCTATGTATGTATGTACACTTATGTACATTTACATACTATATATAGATATTAAAATCTTTCTCAGCAGGTTTTTAATAGTATTACATAATAAATTAAAAATTAAATCAAATTATAAATAAAATACAGTAAGGGTTTCAAAAAATTTTTCAAAACCAATAACTTTTATTTTTTTCAATGGTAGTTTCCAATCATGAAAATTTTCTTCTTTTTCGATAAAAGCAAATTTCTTTTCGTTTAATTTCTTTAGATAAAATAAGAGTAATTTAGATTTAAAAAAGAAGTTTCGAAACTTGAATGAATCATTTTTTGAACTTAATATAAAATTTAATGCTGGAAAAAAAATTAAAATTTTAAATTTTAAAAGAACAATTTATAGGGAAAATTTTATAGAGCAAACTTTGAATATTCTTAACAATATTTAACCAAAATTAAAAAATGAATAAATACAATATATAAACACTCGTATATGCATAAATTAATAAATAAATATAATATAAAACAGGTAGAAAATAAAAGTAATTCCTCAAAAATTTTTATTCAAAATGTGCATAAATAATTCATTGAAATGGCATAAAAAAATTGAAGAAGATCTATAATACATAAAATTTATAAAATACTTAAAATATAGCGAAATAATAATATGTAATCATTATAAGGTAACCAAATAAATAAAAATTTTTTTTAACTATAATTATCGAATAATTATAATAAAATCATAATAACACAAATTTAACATCACAAGTGAGATCTTGTACTTAAAACTAATTTGAAATAGAATATAAAACAAACGTATTAAAGTAAAATAGCAAAATTAATTTTTCGAATGAATCAAGTTAACTTTTTTTTAACAAACTGATAAAACCGATTCAATAATCGGAGACAATATACAATTCAGCTTATGAGCTAAATTGATAACGGTGAAGTGTACCAGTGCAAGTTTACTATGGTATAAAGAAAAAAAATATTTTAGTATACTCAGTTTTTCAATTTTTATATTTTCTGGGCAGCTCTGTCCCTCTTATGGTAAAATTTTTTTGGTTATGTTACTTTTCCAATTTTTACTAGGAATATATGAATTTCACAAGAAAATTTATCTTCACCTATTGTTTTTAATAAAACATGAAGTTATATTTTAATTTTTTGGAATAATATTGTTTTAATCTCATCATAAATTTTTTATTTGATTTGAATAGCATTTTTTCGGAAACTGTATTTGCCCATGTATGTACAACTAATAATTGGTCCTTGTATACAAAAGTTTTCTAATTAATTTAAGACTCTTTTTTTAATGAATGAATTAACATGATTCCAAAAAATAATTCCAAGAGAATACTGTTTATTTTATAATCAGAAATGGAGGACATAACCAATGTAAACTATTTGTCTTGCAGCTACAATAATTTTTGTTTCAGTCATGCTTAATGTATTACTATGTTTTTCAATATACCCTGGTTTTAATAATGGTATAAGAATAGAAATACTTATCATTTCTTTTTATTTTTTGCTTCGTAACAAGAAGCATAAAGTCAAATTGTTTAATTAATTTAAAAACTATAAAAGTTATGCTAAAACATCCTATGATCTGCATTTTTGAACATAAAACTGTAAGTAAGCACAACTACATATATAATGGTATTAACTATTATATAACAGACAAAAACAAAAATAAAAATAAAAAAAATTTCCGCCCAATCGTCGAACCTTCTTTACTAAACTTTAATGCTAGAAAGAAAAGTAAATTAAAACAATTATGACTTTGTATTAGTCTACTCCGCGCAAAAGAACAATCAATTATCTTTTCTAAATTCTTCATTTTTAAATATAATATCTTAAAAAATTTGCTTATTAAGTAATACATATATACAAATAAAAAAAGAAAATAATATTTTGATTGAAGTGCAATTTATAATAAAACTCATAAAATTGATACTCGATCATTTTTTTTTAAAATTACCAAATATGTATGTAAATATGCTTAAAATTTCTCACAATTTAAAAGAATTCGATTATAAAAAATTACGAAAAAGTTGAAAAATTGAAAAATGAGGAAATGTAAACAATTTTATGTGTTTATATATAAATGTACACATATTTACATAGATATATATTATATACATGCATATATATGTATACGTACATACGTAAATATTATATATACCAAAACATATCATAAAATTATGAAACATATAAGACCTTTTACAATTAAATTACAAAAAAAATAATACAAAATTATTAATATGAAAACTAAACTTACAACGTTAAAATACAAATTGCTTTCATTATAACTTTCAAGGATACTTTTAAAAATATAATAAGGTACAATCATATTATACGCAATTATATAAAGTGTTTATTTTAAATAACATTCTCGTACTAAATATAGAAATTACTTTTGATTTATTCCACAGAATGCAATTTCTGTACTAATTTTTCTGATATTTATTTTAGTTTTATTCATATTATGTGTTATTTTAGTTTTTTCTTAGATATTTGAATATTTTATACGTTATACATATTATATATTTTATAAATATTTATTAAACTAAAAAAATAAAAAAAACAAAATAATTGGAAATTTTGGAACATGAAAAAAAAACAATGAATGAATTATCGATTAGAAAATCTCCCATACATTACAACATTATTTAAATCAAAAATAACAAATATAAATTTGTTTTATATATTTTTTTAATATTGTTTAAAATAATTTGTTTTAATATATATATATGCATATGTATTTATTAAAGCCTTAATACTAATTTCTCATTATCAAAATTTAAATCAAACTTAATCAAAAATACATATTAATTTCATATTTCATGAAGTGATACTAGAAAAACAAAAAATATATACAATAATACAAATATATTAATATGTGTATATTATATATATGTACGTATATTATTTTATTTCTTACAAGTAT